AATGCCCGCTGAAACTTATACCTAGCTCGAGTCTTTCCAATCGCAAACTAAAAAATAACTTCAAAAAATGAACCCGTGACCGCGACCGCGATACTAAATTCGAAAAATCGTAGAGTGAAACCAGAAACAAGTGGCATGCTCCATTTTGTATCAGTTTCACTGTCGATTTTTCAAATTAGATTTCCTGAAACAGGTTGGACACGCAGGAACACGCGATCAGAGACTGTGCCAACCTGCCCGGCCCTACCTACTTATAATTAGACACAAACATACCAGAAGGTAAGCTACCTATCCTAACCAGGTCGCCCTATATTTAAAAAATGGCAAAACAGGTACACCAACACACTCACTCCACGGTTCTCACACATACCACTCGAGCGCAGACCTAAACTAGGGAATACGTCCCGGGACGCTTCCGACACTCGAGTTTAACACACAACAGTCACACTCTAATTTACGTACCATTTTCCTGCAATCGGCTGACGAAGACTAGTGACCATTGCGTAAAATGTTTACTTTTCATTTTCATCATTTTACATACATTTCGATTTCAATTTATTCATAGTTATGTTGTATAGATACTCATACACAATATGAGTATATTGTCTGCCATAGATGATATGAAATTTGTATCCTTCATTATTCATGTTGTGTTATTTATCAAGACATCATGTACGTATTCATAATACTAAGAACTTCACAAAAATTCATAAAATTCATAAAAAACTCATTGCTGTATTTAACAGTATTTGTAAAATTTATTAATATTCCAAAATTATATTGTATTTGGAGCAATAAAAAAGGAACGACGCAATTCCACATCCTAACCATACACACATATGCGGAAAATACGTCGTGCACGATACACTAAGGCATCGTCAGTCGCCGAGAAATTATTAAGCTTATAAACTATAGTCATCATATCCATTGCCTTTCTCCCACCCAAGTAGCACCTGGGCACGTGAGTGAGGTCCTGGCAATGAACATGGAAAGGATTAAACCTGAAAAACCTGAGCTAAAAAGATGATTAATAAATCTGTTTTGTATCTAACGGGCTAATATTCCTTGATATTCAATTTTATCATTTTATCCCAAGTTTCAATGACTCCATTGATTTTGTAATTTAATTTAATAATTTCCATAAATTATTGGAACGTTATACTTAAAAGAAATCAACAGTGAATATATTTATTGAAAAAGAGACTGAATACAAGTAAAATTCAATGAATGATAATGAACTCAAATTGAAGTATTAATAGAAATGTCCTCAGGCGATTTTTTTTCATCAAAGTACATCTTTGAAAACATAACAATAGCGTTTAATATCGTTCCTTTGATATTGAAATCTGCCTGTCGCGAAGTATCTTCTTGCACATGAAAGATGTATTTTTGAACGGGTTGAATAGATTTGTAATATATGTCAAATTTTATTGAAAATACTGACTAAGGAAATTAAATAATAATGCAGTTCTATTAACGTAAAACATGAAGTAAATCAAATATTATTTATAATTCTAATATCCATAATACGTATCGTTATTAGCATTATAATAATTTCAATTCCAACAAGCAACGAAGTCGAAGAATATCCAACTTCTCCACTACAAGATGTTGAAATTATTATAACATTCATCATTTATTCAAATATTTACTCATAGTTTATCTTTATAAATAATCATACTTAATACACTTTGATCTCAATATTATATTATTCTTTATGTTTATTATATTAATATGACAATCATAATAATTATTGCAATATTATTAACATTCAAAAACATGATATGCAAGGAAACCTATCCTGAACTAATAAATAAAACACAAATAAGGAAATGTTACTACTCACAGGTATAATAAATACCTGTGATCACTATGTTCGTCAAAAGTTCTATGTAATACAACCAGTCGCCCGTGTCGATTCGGACCTTTCATCCTACGACATGATTGAGTGACTAGAGGAACAAAAATACGTATGACTCACCATCAGGTACAAAGGACGTTATCATCAATGTTGTACTGCACCAAGAAAGTCGTCACCGAAATCGTCGTCAAGCAAGAATCATCGGACTTCATGGTAGAAGTGGAGGATGTAAATAATATGTTTATACCCTAAAAACAAAGGAAATTATTTCAGAAAATTACTTAAATTTGAAATAAAAATATTCTTCAAATTTACAATTGAATTTCAATAATAATTTATATTATAACAATAAAATATAAAGAATTAATTGAAACATTATACAAAATACATTTTTTTCCCCTTTTTTTTTCATTTGGAGCACAGCTAGACCAACCATTCAGAAGATAAGAAGAAATAGAAATTGTAATTAATCTTTAACAATATATAAAGTATATTATTATTTATTTTCAAAATATAATTAATTAAAATACTATATACAAAAATTCTTACGGCTAACATTTTGGTATGGAGAATTAAATAGTAACCAACTGGAGAATTAAATAATAAGTAACTTTAATAATAATTGTGAAATATTGTTATTTGTTGTTAAATAGAATTAACTAAAGTACAATAGACAGAACAACAAATGTAAAAATAGTTAACGTTATTTTGTCTGCATTTATAATTTTAACTTATCATGAATCGATAACATTGGTAGTGACGTTTGTTACAACTGGCAAGTACGCTTTTACCAATACTTGATTATTAAGAAAATTTAGTAACATTTAATCAATGTTAACAAGAATTCTTAAACGAATTCTTAAAGAATTAGAAAACATCTGTAATATTAAGAAATCTTAAAACAGAAATATATTAAATGTACACACACCATCGATGCAATTGATTGGCGCAGAAGTGAAATGGTATTGCGTATTTAACCATTGGCGCTGTAATCGGTAACTAATTTAAGTCGAATTAAGGCGCGCGTGTTTCTCACAAAATGTTAACTTGAAATAAAAACTAAAAAACTCTGGTCTAAATTAAATACACAATTCATGAGAAATTCTTAAAAAAAAAAA